ATTAAATAACCTTAGAGTAACCCTAGAGCAGCCCTTGGGGCAGCTTTTGAAAAAAATACGTATTCAGCAGATGATAATCTGATGTGAAATTCTTTAGCCAAACTAACACAGGAACAGGGTGTATGGCTGGAAGTGGGAGACAATCCCCATTGCTGCCAAAAGGAATATAAATCAGCTAATCTTTGGCTCTATTTGAATTGAAGAAAAACAAAAAAGCTAATATATCTGTGACAGTGGCTTGGGGTAAATTCAGATATGAGGCTTGCCTGAGCCAGGTGCACCTTGGCCTGATCCTTAAGGCAATCCTTATACTCTTTAAGTGAGAGGGGTTATAATATGCTCTCTAAGAGACCCCAGGACTGCAATCCTGCTCTGTAAATTTAAAACAGATCCATGAGAGTTTTAATGTGAAGAAATGGCTCATAACATTAGTGAGGTTGACCAGGCCCTCCCTTTGCATAGGATTGCCAGTCCATGAGAACAGGAGGGTTGTTCCTTCCCCCTCCAGACCTACTTATGCCAATGAAGTGGATAGTAAATTGTTACCTAATAAAAAGGAGGCAAATATCTAGAAAAATAATGGGGTTACCATAATAATGTTACCTAAGCTGTCTGTGATATGCATGGAAGCAGTTTGTGCAGACTTTAAGTATGTTTTTGTGAGCTGGGCATTTTGGAAATCCCAATGGACTGCTGGAAGTCAAGAGGCATGTTGATTTTGTATCTACCATAGGTCTGCATTTGTGGGAGCTGTTGTATTATGGAGTGGGGGCTGAAGGCAAACAATCCATTGGCCATTTCTACCATTGGACTATTCATTAGAGCAGTAATAGGGGGTGTTGGACTCTGGTTCCTATCATACCTGATCTTCTAGGTGGGGCTGATAAGAACCCTATAGATTTGTTGTAATAATACAACGAAGTCTGAAGGGGTGAGGTTTTTCTACCCCTACATTAGAGGTTGGGGGCACCTGTAGTTTCTTCAAGGTTTTCAATCTAGTATTTTCTACCATCTGCTAGTTTTCAATATTTAGAGAATATCCTAAAAGCTTCACTTGTGGGTCAGTATAGAAATGAAATGAATAAAATAAAAATAAAAAGTGGACTTGTGGCTGATATATCACTGAAGCCAGTTAAAACCACTCTATCAAATGACAAAGCTGGAACTATAAGCACCCCCCAGATTTGCAAACTTGCCTCTTCTGGGGAAGTGCATCTCCATTTTTGGCTAACTGGACAGTTGAACAACCCACCTGAATGGATTAAGTCTCAATTTATTGGCCTCTTAGAGCCCATTGCTTCACCCAGGTACTGATTCAGGATACTCATTGCCCCATATGCATTGGATGAAAATGAGAGAGAGAGAGAGAGAGAGAGAGAGAGAGAGAGAGAGAGAGAGAGAGAGAGAGAGAGAGAGCGCGCGCGCGCGCGCGCGAGCGAGCTGATTGTCATCCATGTATTCCAGACAACCTTTCTTAGTGATTTTGTGTAACTACAGAGAGACAAAATAGTCTTAAGGGGCATTACACTGGAATCTCCATGAGGCAGAACTCCTACTCCTCAGCACCACCTTCTGGAGCTAGCTGTCCAAATAGGGGTGGAACCACTGTAAAACAGTGTCTCCAGCTCTCAGTGCAGGCAGCCTCCAAACAGTGTATAAGCACGAAGGACTGTTCCACAGTAATATTGTGGATGCAGGATAGTAAGATATGATCCAGCCAGAGTGGAGGTATGCCCCATCTAAGATGATCATTTTGCTAAATAAAGAATAAGAAAGATCATGTGCTGCAATTTATGTTTTCAGCATTGCAGTGCATTAACTATATCTGTATGTATTTTACGCAGCTGCAAGTTCTGTCATTGTGTTGAATGACTTTTCTATTTTTAGATCATCCTTTGAATCGGTAGAATTAGAAGGGAAAGTGTTGAGTCTATGGCTTAAGCTGCAAGGAGGGCATGGTTAAATGTTAGCTGAATTCAGCCTCAATATTTTGGTCAAGAAACTGGCTAGCATAAGAAAATGCATTATGTCTCCATCCAGGGCAGTTATTAATATAAAAGCAAATTCTTGTTTCTGAGGTCAGTGATGTGTATGTGTTTTCAGTTAGGCATTAAAATGCCTCCATTAAACTTGTCTGACAACACATGAATGCTTCTGTGATAAAAGTGTATTACAAGAAATTGCTGTATTTCCCAAAATGGGGAGCTCTAGTTGTTAGACAACAAGGCTCAGCATGCCATCAGCATGTCTCCTACTTCCCCTGCTGTCATCATTTTTCCTTTCTTACTCTTTTCTTACCCCTCTAGAGAGTGGAGACTAAAGGATGGGTCTTAGTACAGTCATGTGCTTGTGAAAAATGAATAGCTCTTTTCCCTTGAGTTGAGGCTTTTCCATCACTGAAGTGTGGCCATGCCTCCATGCACCAGAGTTAAGGAAGAGTTTTGCAGCAAGAGAACATGGATCTCTGGCAGGTTAGAGCATGTGTGCTTCTCATTTTAGAAGCAAAGCCTGGTTTTGAGCCAAGCTTAGGACTGCCACTAACTTTCGTTGGTACTTGTTCTAACTCTCCAGTCAGAGATGTGACTCTCAAGTTATAGAGTTGCTGGGTGCATCATGGACAGTCTTTTAAGAGCTGAATCAGCTTTGTGTAATTCTTCCCATTGCAGCAGAGCAACCTGTGGTTGTGTGGGCAGCCAAGAAAATGTGCAATCTATTTTGCCACTATAGGGGCAAAGGAGTCACTTGGGCTTATTGTCAGGTAGGTCTAGGCTGGATCTACAAGGTACAGTACCCAGTAGAGGTAATCTGTTCTACCCTATTTCCTCTTCAGATACTCAGTAGGTACCTGTCAGTCTGTTCACAGGCTGTACCTGCCTTTACGTTTCTATTCATTTATTATATTTGTATCCTGTAGTCTTTCCTTCCCAGGAATTCAAGGCAGCTTCCATAATTCTCCTCATCCTCCCCATCTTACCCTCACCACACTAGCCCGATGAGGTAGGTTGGGTTGGGAGTCTGTGACAATAATGGTGGAGGTTGAGTAGTACCTTACATTCTCACACAGTTTATTCTGGGCTATGGTAGGAGGATCATGCCCAATGCTTTTCTTGAGCATTGAACTAGGACTGTTCATATCATGAGTAAGCATATTTTTTCAGAAGGCAGCCCTAGTGATTTTGGTGAAAATTCTTACCTAATGAATGTGATCAGGATTGCTAGAAGCAGATCCTGTTGTGTCTATTTAGGGTCTGCTCCCAGGTAAATATGCAACTGATTCGCACTGCAAATGTTGTAGCCATAGTTTGTGCACTGCTGATCCTTCTCAGATAAAAAAGAAAGTTTTACTGTAAACCAGTCAGAGAGCTTCAGCTATGGGAAGTATAAAAATGAAATAAATAATGAGCACCAGGCTTCATCTTTTCTGGAAAATTAGAGAGCTGAGTTTCTTTTTAATTCAGTTTCTGTGGCAAACGCCAAATGACCATCCAGCGAGAAAATGTATAGAATACAATATGAACATCATTGCTCACAAACTGTCAGTTTTGGCTGAAGACTTTTGTAAGAAAACTCTGTTTTGGGCAGAGATGGAATTATATTAAAACAGAAATTTAACTTTAAAAATGTGTGAAGTAGAGGGGGATTTTATGTTTAGGTTTTTCCACAAATAAGGCAAAACCTTTGGATTTAGCACTGGTGCTGGCAATTTTACAGCTTTTCCCCCCTCATGTGTTCAGTTAGCCTTCCCAGTTTTTGATCTTCCAGGTGGATTGGTCTACAGTGTTCAGCATTCCCGGCCAATAACCATTCTGTTTGGGGAGGATGGATATTGTAAGCCATCATTTCTGGAAGCCCCAGGCTGAGGAAGGCTGTTGCAAAGAGAGCTAGAGTATGTGAACTCTATTTACTAAGGGCATTTTTAAAATAATCACCATAGGAATGTACATTTTAAATCTGGAATGCACAGGTTGCAGATACTGTGTGAAAGTGGGGAGGAGCTGAGTTGTGCCCACACAGAAAAGAAACACCTCCAAGCATAATATAAATAGTAGGTCTGAACCACAAGGCCCTTCCACACCCGTTCCCAGCATTCTACATGAGCATCCCTCCACATAATTTCAATAAAATTATAACTTTGAAACCAGTAACAGATGCGTAGGCCAGGAGAACTTCAAAGGTGTTTTCTTACTCAACTACAGCCTGGAAATAGGCATTGTGAGTCGGAGGGAATACTAGTCTTCTGCAGTCCTTGGCACTAACAGCTGGAACTTGAATCTTAATAGACTATAACTTGTTGTAATAACTGATAATATTGGTTTATTTGTTCGACTTCTGTACTGCCCATTAGCCAAATTAACCATGGTAGGCTAGCAGATGGATTATATTTTTACATCTCAAGTCATACTTGTGGTTTATTTAAACGCTACGGCTAAGGTTGTAGTGGATGAGTTATAAATTTAAGCTAGGTACAAGATGTTCATAAACATGAAGCACAGCAGTGGAGAAGTTCTGCAAAAAATTCTGAAGAAGGGGGATTTCTAGAAAGGATGATCAAGATTAAACATGTTAAAGAGCACAGAAGGAATTGCTGAAGGTGTTTTTTTCTCACTTTGTGGTTGGGAGGAGGAGGAAATATATACCTGTTTGTGGCTCAGAATTGCTATGGCTCTACTTATGCTACCAATATGTTATTTATTATGAGTCAATTGAACATGTAGAACTGTTCAAGCAATATTATACTTTTGAGGGCCTGAGAGTTATGAAAAAGAGGTCTACCCTAAACTAGCAGTGTATGTGATAGGTACCCAACTTTATCCCAGATAACTGAATATCTCATATCAGGAGCTTTTCTTTCAAATGCCAAAAGGTAAGCTTTATAGGCTTATCTCCAAATAAGTGAATATGTGTGGCACTCAAAATATCAGCTGTCTTAAGATGATAGCCCTATTTTTCAGGCTGCACCCAGTTCTTACCATAACAATTTCAATGCTTTGTTTTTACAGAAGAGAATGCAGAAGTTACCCTTGATGTGTCCTTAGCGTACCGTGATGATAGGTTCAGTGAATGGAAGGAAATGGCACGTGCGGTAGAGACCCGAAAGCTCAAATGTTCCTTTGGAGCTCCAAAAGTAGGTTCTTTGTGGTTCCGTTTTTTGTTTTAATTTTGGCCCCAAAATATATATTATGATATATAGTCTTTGCTTTCAAGCCTACTGTGCCAGATTTCCTTTTACTCAGAGGGCATGAATTTGTGATTCATCTTACATAATGTCCACTCAGTCTGTTGGATAAACTCCTTTTCAGACTGGTAGTATAGGAGCCAGGTAAAGGTCAGCCAATGACAAGAGAGCAAGATGAGTTTGTCCGCCCATAAAAAGGACTTTTCTTTTAACTCGCATTTGTTAAAGGTAACTGGGATTTTTTAGGAGTCTGCTTAAGCATTTGGGTAAAACATTTAACTTCATTTGAATCAAAAAATGGCCAGAGAAAGTGTCTTGTAGTTTAAAAAATGTAAGTCAATCACTTGTCTCTGAAACATTTTAATGCATAAGTGATGAGCTATTATCCTGCTGTATCCTGTGGTGCTAGGTGCTGAGCATATGCAAGAACAGCAACATGTGGTTTATTTTCAGTACTGTGTCCTTGTATCCACAGGTGTCTAGTGTCTTCAACTCCTTTAGGTACAGATGTAGATTTTCAGTGTATTGCTTCCCATATGTTTGTCGTCCCTTTTCTTTTATATCCTATGCTTTCTATCACTAAGTTGATAGGTTTTGTTGTTTTGCTTAACTTAGGAGGATAAAGGAGAAAAAAAAAATCATTCATCTGGTAAGTGCTAAATTTGTTATTTTATAAGTGCACACACAAATCAATCTTAATAGTTACATTTCCCCCCTCTGATATTTCAATAGACTATAGAGCATGAAGGAAAGTTCTATGACTGCGAAGTACTTCCATTTATGGAGATTGGAACTGTTGCTCACAAATTCTATCTTATCAATGTCCGTCTCCCTGTGAATGAACGGCAAGGCATTAATGTGGGAATTGGAGAAATAAAAGATATTCGTTTGGTAGTAAGTATGCATTTATGCAGTCTCTGTGCTGATCTCCACCCAGCTGTATCTGCTAACCCAACAAATTCTAAGTGTCCAAAAGTATTTCATATGGATGTTAACTGGAATATGGTGAATTAACTTCAAATTTGATAAATGTGTTTGGTGCTCTGTTCTGTATATGCTTCTTTATTTCATGGGACTGGGCTGAATTCCATCTGAAACTAGATTAAAGATGTGAGTATAGGATTCACTTTAATAAATCAGCATGCAAATGAATCCTCAGTAGTTTTGCTTACACAAGGAAAACATTACAAATCCACTTTCCATCTTGGGTTAATCACTTGTTGAATAACTTAACTTTCAGGCATAGTAGACGGGTAAGTACAGCTGGTGGAGCCAAGCAGTTGGACATGAAATCACTTGGGATTCTTTGTTCTGCTTTTACCATTTTTTAAAAATCATATGCATAAGAGTTAGGCTATAATGCATCACAAATATGCAGCAAACAAACAGTTTCTTGAATAGTCATTACTTATTAAAACAATACAATTACCAAAAGTAAGGATCTTCCTTTGATTTCTACAAAAAGTGCATCAGCACAAGAATTTTTAGCAAATAAGTATGGTAGTCCATCTATTAAACATGTGGAATGTCGTCCTACTCAGAGCCATCAGGGTCCCAGTAGATTTTCCCCTTTAATGCCTCACCAGCTATTATCTTTCCATTTCCCTACCACACATCAACTGGCTTTTACACACATCAACTGGCTTTTAACTTGCTCTGCGGATAAGTACATTTTTGATAGTTTCCAGGGTCCAGCAGTTGTTACGCCTGACCACCAGCACTTCCTTGTCTGTCAGATGTCATTTGTTTTGGGGATGAAGTTTGTAAATTCACCTCCATTTACTTAGTCTCTAGAAAACCTAAATTGGGGGAATACAATAAACTATCAAAATACTAAGACTGTATGTTCATTGCTAAAAAGCAGATCTTTTTCAGTCCAAATTATAATTGAGAAAGGGCATGGTAGCAGTCCCATTTTAGCTCCATCTAATCTGGAAGTCAGTCTTTTCTGCTAAGATATATCCTGCTTTCAGTTTAGACTAGCAATTTTTTGTAATGCTACCACTGTGTCTGTTAAATATAATTTTCCATCTGTACTTGTGGTAAACTCAAATCAGCACTCAAATCTGGTTGTTTCAATTCTTAAATGAAGTCATTACTACCAGTGAATTAAGTGTTACAGAAGAGTGGCCATAAACTGCAATTAGAAGACCTGTTTTGATTCTTTTTGTGTCTGCTTATAATTTTGTAAAATGTCCCATTCTTTGCTTCATTTATAAATAAGAATCTGTATACTGTAAGATACTTTCACAGCTAATTTGGCTGTGTTTGCACACTGCAACTCATTTCTTCACAGGATTCTCTCCCCTCCCTCAAGTATAGCTGTGATCCAAGCCTCATGATATTGAGGTATCCAGAGGTACTATGGATAATCTAAAGGTACAATTGATACAGGAAATGGAGAAATACAACATTAAAATTTGATCTAACTTGCAGGGTATTCATCAGAATGGAGGTTTCACAAAGGTGTGGTTTGCAATGAAAACATTTCTTACACCTAGTATCTTCATCATCATGATTTGGTACTGGAGAAGGATCACAATGCTGACACGGCCTCCTGTCCTCTTGGAAAAGTGAGCAAAGACAATCTAAGATGTTTTGCAAGTTGAAAAACCCATGAAGAGCAGTTTATGTTCAGAAAGAATAAAAGACCTCTTAGAGTGACAGAATGTCAATAACTGCTTGGTGATGGTTATTCTATACTGTTAACCTGCTGTATAATATATACTTACATAGTAAAAGATATGTTCTACCTATATAAGATTAATTTTCAAAATTTGGTTTGAATATGCCAAGCCTTTCTATCCTTCCCAAGGAAAACATAAAACATCCCAAAAGTTCTTAGAATGACCAGCCAGGATCAGCTAAATATCTATGAAAAGTTCAGGATTATAGATGTAAAGGCCTGGAGGGGGGGAAGCAGAGAGAATAATAAAATTATTGGCACAGGGATCCAGGAAAAAAAACAACCCTCCTTATTTCTGTTCATCTCCAACTCCAAGGCTTCATATGTGCATTCACAATGCATTAGTCCCAGAAGAACTTGCTAAGAAGAACTTATTTGTTGATAGATAAGCTAGACCAGTGGTTTTCTTTTAAGGAGGGACCATGCTAAATATTATTGAAGCAAAATTTTCATTAAGTTTTTGGAGAAAACTAGATAATCAGCTGAATTGCTAGTATGACAGTTTAATTTGAATGTGAGTTGACTGCAGTAGCAATTTCTTGAAAATGGATTTTTAAAAAAATGTTACTCCTTTTTCCAGAGTTATTTTTGCTCTTGGGATCTCCATGACCTTCATAAACATCCCAGTAGAGTGGTTTTCTATTGGATTTGACTGGACATGGATGTTGCTTTTTGGAGATATTCGCCAAGGAATCTTCTATGCTATGCTGCTGTCTTTTTGGATCATCTTTTGTGGAGAGCATATGATGGTAGTTGCGGTCATATGGTTTTGTGGGTGATCATAATACCGTGTGGGATTTTTTCTTTACTTATTATTTACTTATGTAAAATGATATTTTAGATTTTTTTCATTTAATAGAGGCTGTTTCCAATTCAGGATCTATCTATGCATTTCTAGTCCATATTTTATGAGCTGAGATAGCTTTGAAGAAGAGTAAACATTCATATGGGAACTGTTCAGCTTGAGCTAACAATGTTGCACAAGAGGCAACTAGCATTTGGTAGCATGACAGAAATCGAAGCTTTCCTGTCTGCTCCTCCCTACTGCAGTCTCTCAGTGTCACAAATCTCTCCCAGAGGCTCTGCTACCATGTATTGTATACTGTACAATACAGTATTGTATTGTCACAATGCATGTTTTGTTATATCAAAAACTTATCAGTTCAATATAAGGTCTAGATTATTGGTGGTTTGGTGTTCACTGAGCATATTTGATGATGAGTATGCCTACTAATATGATTATTAATAACTCTGGTTTCCTTGTGTACATTGTTTTCCACTATAGCAACATTATTAATGTCACATTTTGCTACTACCAACTGGGTCTGAGACCTCATACCTTTTCTTTGGAAACATTATGTTATATAATTGCCTACAATGGTATGAAAATTGTAATATTGATTCCCAGTAGAAAGTGTAACATTTTTGGGTGGAAGGTAGGAGACTTGTTTATAACTCATTTATTGTTTGATCATTTATTTTAAAATGCACATTTTGCATTTATTTCAGACATATTCATATGTTCAGGAACTAACCCTTCTTAAAAAAAGAAAAAAAAGGAAAATCAATATGCTAATACTAATTCTACTTTGGTACAGGCTAACTAACTTACTCTACTTGAGTATAGTCTGTTTAATCGGTACTTTCAGGGTTCAGATTTAATCATTTTGTTTGATATTTCTCTTATCTATTTGCAAATTGTCTTCAATTGTTTTTTACATTTTTAGGATCAGAATGAACGAAATCACTTTTCAGCCTATTGGAAACAAGTTGGACCAATAGCTGTAGGCGCCTTCTGTCTCTTTATCTTTGACATGTGTGAGAGGTAATTGCAAAACATTTTTAAGAGGCTTTCCTAATTTTAAAATACTTATTTTAGCTATTGTTTTCTGAACAGGAACTACTGATTAAAAGTAGTTCATAACAAAAATGCATTATCAAACTATACTGGTGTTCTGATCTCACAGTGCTGACACAGAATAGATTCCCTCAACAGTCCTGTTTCTGAGTGTCCACCTCCTTTTTACAATTACTTTTTGATGCACAGACTGCAGAATGTATGTTTGTGACACGCTGAATTTTTCCGAGTTGATATCAAAAGGTTATGTATCCAGCATAGCCATTTATTTTCCTGAAAACAATGAGTTGATGTCATGGTGTCCTAAGTCCAAGTTCTGTCAGACTTTTTAAAGCTCCGCAAGTGAAAGTGATAAGGTGGATAGATGCCTCTTTCATGTGGGTTTATATCCAATTTACAGCCTGGCCCGTGAGATGGTTGAGCATCATTCTGTAAGTGGAGTTGCACTCCCTCTGAAGGACAAGGTCCGCAGCTTGGGAGTGCTCCTCTATCCAGAGCTTTCGCTAGAAGCTCAAGTAACAGCGGTGGTGAGGAGTGCTTTCTTTCAGCTTCGGCTGATTCACCAGCTGCATCCCTACCTGGAGAACGACTGCCTGGCGACAGTGACTCACGCATTGGTAACTTCCCGACTAGACTTCTGTAATGCGCTCTACATGGGGCTGCCCTTGAAGACAGTCCGGATACTTCAATTGGTGCAAAACAGACAGGGACTGGGCATTGTGCTCACATAACTCCAGTCCTCCGCCAGCTTCACTGGCTCCCCATTGAAGTCCAGGCCCAATTCAAGGTGTTGGTTATCACCTATAAAGCCCTTAACGGCTTGGGTCCTGGTTACCTAAAGGAGCGCTTATGTCCATACTTGCCCTCCCACCCCTTGAGATCGGCGGCAGAGGCCCTTCTCCGGGAGCCCTCCGTGAAGGACATTAGGAGGGTGAGTACCCGGAGGAAGGCTTTCTCTGTGGTAGCACCCAATCTATGGAATGCACTCCCCAGAGAGGTCCGCCTGGTGCCGTCGTTATTTGTTTTTTGGTGCCAGGCCAAGACTTTTTATTTAAACATCATTTTAATTGTTAATATTATTTATTGATTTTATATCTTTGGCCAGGACGTCTCCAATTATATTGTTTTATATGGTTAATTGTGTATTTATTTATTGTTGTGGGCCGCCCTGAGGCTTCGGTGAATGGGGCGGCATAGAAGCTTGCTAAATAAATAAATAAGTAGACTAGCTGCTTCCATATGTGGCTACCACCAGAAACTAGTGGCACCATGTCTGCAGCCCCTTTATCTCACAACTTGTGAAATGCATGGCATGCTTTGCATTTGGAAGTGAAATATAGCCATGTGGGTTCACAGCTTTTTGTAAAATCCGGTTCCTTCCAAATTTCCTTAAAATAAAAGTAAGCATACAACACTGTCATTATTCTATGTATTAACAAAATTCTAGATTTCATTGTGATGAACAGAATACAATCCCTTTTTGGTTGCAGCCTGGGTTTTAATAAACATAATTTTAATATTTAAAGTGCATGGGCTACTTTTGTACCCAAAGCATAGTACAACCATGTTAAAATGCAATAAAATCATGACACATATTAACATTTCTACCGTGATATTGTTGTGTACTTTTATAGATGCTAATTAAAAGTTGGTAATAGGTATTGTTTTAGATTATATTTTATCAATTTTATTTTTATTTTTATTGGGTTTTTGTGTGCAAGTTTCTTTACGATAGTTTGCATATATTCAATAATATTGTAAAGTGATTTATAATGGTTAATACATAATACAATAATAACTGCATTGACAAAGCTGTCAATATAATATTGATAATTTTAATAAATATACCAAACGTTAATAAAGTTCCCTTCTCAAGTGCCAGTCTTCTGCCTTTCCAGGTTACAAAAATAGTGCTGCTTTATTTGATACTTTTGCAGTATATAACTTGCTCTGCTGATTCTCTTCCATTTCTAGAGGGGTACAATTAAAAAATCCATTCTACAGTATCTGGACCACAGATGTTGGCACAGAGCTGGCTGTATCCTTTGCTTTCCTCTGCAACAAGGTTATTCATTTGCGTTTCAAGGGAACATACTGGGAAATTTAAGCTTTGAAGCTATGCTACTTTTTCTTTATGACCATACTGAACCTGTTGAAAAGCATCTTAACACGGTGATACCTCAGCTCACAAACACCACAGTTCACAACCAAATTGGGTCGCGAACATAAATTTCATGAAAATTTTGACTCAGGTACTGAATTACACATTGGGTGGCGACCGCGATCCCCCACTCGGCGGGGGGGGGAGATGGCCGCGATTGTGCTGGGGGCAATATGGCCCGTCTTTCTTGAAGGAGCGCAACCGCAATCTCAGCCATCTACCCCCTCAGCACAATCGTGCCTGTCTCCCCCAGAAGCGCACCCGCGTTCATGCCAGTCTCCTCCCCCCACCCCAGCGCGCTAGGATGACGGGCACAATCACGGTCGTGCTGGGGGGGGGGTGGGGAGATGGCCACGATCTTTGTTGTTCTTTGTGACTTTGCTTTACATTTTTCTGATTAAAAAAAATAGAATGGATTGGCCTTATTTACACTGAACCTTATGGGGAAATTTAACTTGACTCACGACCAATTCAGGTCATGACCAGAGTCCTGGAACGGATTAAGTTTGTGAGCCAAGGTACCACTGTACATGTTCATTCTATTAATTAAGCTAGTGCACAAAGAAAAGCTAAGTATTTTTTGTTGTTGTTAAACTATGAAATCAATAGGAACAGGTGTTGTGAACTGCTCAGAGAGTTTCAGCAGTTGTGCAGTGCAGAAATGAATTAAGATGGTGATGGTGATGATGAATATGAATGATCAATTGTTAGTACAGTGCTTTTTTTCTTGCGGTCTGAAACAAGGATGGGCAGATTTTGCGCATACTTGCTTTGTTTGCTAGAACTTCACAGTTCACCAACCAGACCAAATTGCAGAAGTAGGGCTCAGTGGTCAATGGCCCTTTCTGGAGGTGCAGCTCAACATGTAAACAACCCACACATTCACGAGCAATAAAACTAAAGTCCTTTATTGCTACTTGTCTACAAGATTTACAACTCTATAGATAAGCTCTTCTGTTGAGGTCTTTAGAATGCAGAAGTTAATCCTCTAGTGGTGTCTCTCCCCAGCCCACGTGGGACTAGCTTTCCTGGTCACGCCTTTCTTCCCTCTGGCGTAACAAGGCCTGCCTTTGCTCATATCTTCTTAGAATTGTACGATTGGTTGCTAGGGAAATGTCTATTACGCCCCCTGCATCTCCTGTGTCATGTTCAGGAAGTTCAGCGTCAGTGGGAGGAGGGACAGCCTGCTCTGGTTCCTTCTGAGTGTCTTTTCCCTCGGGGCTCTCTTGCTTTGATGTGGGCTCGGGTGTTTGCTCAATTGGCAGGGAGTCAGGGGGAGGTGCAGCTATCTGCTCAGCCACCCCCAAGCTAGGTTGCTGGGTTGGCTTTTGGATACAGGGTCCCAAGCACAAGACCTCCTCATGAGGTGCTGTCTCTGTCAGGGCTTCAGGCATGACACTTTCATACCTAAATATCTTACTGGTACTCTCCCAGCCCATGCTTTTAACGGTTTAATTTGAGGGCAGGTTAGAGACGTATACTATGTTGTGTAATCTGGAGTCAGAAACTTTTGCCACCCACCAATCTACACTCCCTGGAAGTGTACTAATACATCCCAATCTACCTTCCGCACACCCAAACAGCAACCTTTGTGCACCTTCCCAACTACTTTATAGCAAACAAACATATTTACCAGAAAACCGCTTTTTTGTATTTGGCACTCTGAGATGAGTGTGTGTGCACACATGTGCACATGAACATTTGTGTACATGCATATATTAGTACACAAGCTCTTCTGAGTTTGGCATTTACTGAAAATAAGGTTTTTTTCTGACAAGCATTCCTAGGAAGATAAACTTGTCTTCTGTATAGATTAATAGATAGTATTCAGTTATGATCTTACACTGTATTGTATATTGCTCTGTATGTGCATGTGTGCAAATATATCCCGAAAACATTTCTGTTGAACAGCCTTTTCTAAGATTAGACTAGTGACCATATCCAAACATCTTTATTTATATGTACTAGTGGGAACAGAATTAACTATTCCAGCTATGGAGATTGTAGTTTATTGCATGTTTTTTGTAGTTTGCTGCCACGCCAAGAACTCGTGGAAACAATAGCAGACCATTCAGGTCTGGGATTCTCTGAAGGAAGGGATTTTTCATGCACATACGACTTTGAGTGACAAATAGGACTTTTTCCCCTCTGCACTTCAGCTTAAGGACTGATCTGTATTTTAATAACTAAGCAAAACCAAATGAACTACTGATTGGTATCTCTGCCTTTGCTCATTAAGTATATGTCAAGTGACTTAATTCATTTTAAACTAACCTTAACTTTACGACTCAGATGGCATTTATTATTGTTGCTGGAATCTGTCTCTGCCTCTACTTCTTGTTCCTGTGTTTTATGGTGTTCCAAGTATTCAGAAATATCAGCGGCAAACAATCTAGTCTCCCAGCAATGAGCAAAGCTCGCAGGCTTCATTATGAGGTGAGAAATCCAGGGAGGGGGCTGCTGATGTTTCAGAGCAATGCCAGCTTGCACCCGGATTCCATGACTAGTAACCTGTAACCAGTTTTGGAATTGGCAATGGTCTTGTGTAAAGCAGGTATGTCTGAACAAGTCATATAAATAGTGTCTGCAGTTTATATTGCAATAAGTTTTGATTGGATAACCAACTAAATTTTTGCCGTAGCACTTCTTTAGTTCCATTTTCTCTGGGGGTGGAATAGCCCTTCCATCCTTGAAGCAGGGAGAAATCATTGTTAGTCTAAATCTCAACAGGCAGTGACTCCACTATGACAAAGGAACTGATTCAGGTTCCCCTACTTTCAGATTGCCACCCCCTTGCCCTGCCAAAAAAAGAATGAATCCAGAGTCTGTCCCAGTACACATGTTGGGACAGTCCCATGGTTGTCGCCGAACCCATGAAAGCCTGGGCCACCCCAGATAAGGTGTCTTTGGTGTGGATGATAGCATTCCTCAAAAGCAACAGCCTGGGGGACCTCAGCATTGCAACTGAGAACACCTCTGTCAGCTCAGACATGGAGTCTGTTAACACTAGCATAGGGAGTGTACCAGCAGAATCCCTAACCTGTCCCACTGGCCCAGCACCAGATGCAGACACTCCAGACTGCTAGTCAGACAGGATCCTAATGGGAGTGTGAAAAGAGAGGGTCTGTAGCTTATTACAGCACCCCCTCCCCAAACCTCAGATATTTCTTGATGCTGAACCAAGTATCCTGGTGGGCATAACTAAGAGAGACTAATTCTCCTCCCTGTTCACCTGCCCAGGCCTTGCTGATGCATACCAGATCAGCTGCCTCTTCCAATATTAAAGCAGCATGGGAAGGTTCATGTTCTGACAGCCAGAGACCCAAGGCCGGGTTGGCAAGGCAGGCACCTGTGTGTTATCACAAGGAAGATCACAACACTGCACAGTTGTTAACCATGTGGGCCACATGCCCCTTATCTGGCTAGTCCTCATCTCATATACCATATCTTTTTAAAACTTGTATCTTCTATGGTTTGAAATAAATATGTTTGTATCCCTATGACTGTTTGTGCCTCACATTTCTACCCTCTGCTTGTGTTCTGGATCAGCCCAAAGAAACTTGCATGACTTGCTCTATATTGCTGAAGCATCTCTTCATTATGTGCTTTGCCTTAGGCTTAGCTGTGTCTCAATATGACAGTCATAATGGGGTCTGACTTGTAGGGTCTCTTTGGAACCAGTTCAAGACTCCTAAGGAGAGTCCTTTTAGAGGGCTTTTTATTGACTTTTTCATTAGGTTAGGACAGTTGCTGCTGTGGCCACTGACAAGCTGACTACAATTATATACCAGCTGTAAAATAAGTTTGGGGTTGGGAGCACTCTTGCTTTTTATAATTAAATATTAGAAAGCCCAAAGTAATCTGCAGGTAAAGGCTGATGTGCCACTGATGTGAAAGAAGACGAGCTGGATGTTGAAGAGTTTTATCTTCTGAGATAACCCAACTAAGAAACAAAGCTTTCCTTCAGCTTCGGCTGATTCATCAGCTGTGCCCCTACCTGGAGTACGACTGCCTAGCGACAGTGACACACGCGCTGGTGACTTCCCGTCTTGACTTCTGTAATGCACTCTACGTGGGGCTACCCTTGAAGACGGTCCGGATACTTCAGTTGGTTCAAAATAGAGCTGCCAGGCTGCTGACGGGGACTGGGCGTTATGTTCACATGACTCCAGTTCTCCGGCAGCTTCACTGGCTTCCCATTGAAGTCCGGGCCCAATTCAAGGTGTTGGTGATGACCTATAAAGCCCTAAACGGCTTGGGTCCTGGTTACCTGAAGGAGCGCTTACAGCCATATATGCCCGCCCGCCCGCCCCTTGAGATCTGCGGGAGAGGCCCTTCTCTGGGAACCCTCCGAGAAAGAAATCAGGAGGGTGGGTACTCGGAGGAGGGCTTTCTCTGCGGTGGCGCCTAAATTATGGAATGCGCTCCCCAGAGAGGTCTGCCTGGCGCCGTCGTTATTTTTTTTTCGGCGCCAGGTGAAGGCCTTTTTATTTAAGCGGCATTTTAATTGTTAATATTATTGGATTTTATCTGGCCAGGGCGACTTATTTTATATTGTTATTTTTTGCATTTTAACTTAATGTTTGTACTTTACAAACATTTTAATTTAATGTCATAATTAATGTTTGTATTTTTTAACTTAATGTTGTAAGCCGCCCCGAGGCTTCGGTGAATGGGGCAGCATAAAAATGTTTTAATAAATAAATAAATAAGTGGGAACCAAGTCTTCCTTCTTTCTCCAGGCCAGAAGAGACAGGTGCTGACAGAAGGATAGCCTTATGCTGTTGTATCAACAGCAGACTCAGGGTTCAGTCCCTTTCGTTCCCTGCTCCACCCAACACAGAAACGGCTTGGCAGAGAGACACAGAAGGGCTTCCACATAATCTTGTACTCATGTTCTTGTATCTTTTGCTCTAAGGCCTACTCTTAGATGGGTGTGGCTTGATTATACAAGCCACAGCTGGGAATTGTAAGCAGCAGACATAGCAGATGTCTATGCTATGTTTGCTTATGTCATCTGTTTAATATTCTTGCTGCAGATCCTGTGGCGTTGACATACTTGAGGGCGCTTTTTAATGCCTTATGTTCCTTTCTTTCCCTAGGGGCTGATTTTTAGATTCAAATTCTTGATGCTGATCACATTAGCTTGTGCTGCCTTGACAGTAATATTTTTCATTGTCAGTCAAGTGAGTATTCTAAAATAACGACTCCTTTCATTTAGAATTTGGGATTTTTATCCACCTTCCAAAAATGATGGTGTTCACTTACTGCTTCAGATCTTCAGCACATCTGGAGAGAGATAGAAAAGGTGGGGTTTGGGAGTATGTCTCCCACAAAATATTTACTCCAACTGCTTTGATTCTCTTCCTATCACTACAGGTACAGAGGGCAACCAGTAAATGCAGAAACATGGGTTTCCTATGTGGAAAGGGTCTTTTGTTGGTGTTAGGATTCTTGGTTGCTTTCTCGACTTTTTCTGTTCATGTTGTGCTTATGGATTCCTCACTTGACTATTCCTATTCTTCCTCCTGGGTAGGTAACAGAAGGCCATTGGAAATGGGGCAACTTCACAGTTCAAGTGAACAGTGCCTTTTTCACAGGGATTTATGGGATGTGGAATCTTTATGTCTTTGCCCTCATGTTCCTGTATGCTCCTTCACACAAAAACTACGGAGAAGATCAATCAACTGGTGAGATGAGATCAGATGTAGCTAGGACCTAGATGGAGCAATGCAATCAATAATTGTGTGACAAAGGCTTGTGTGTGTTTAGCAAAAAGAATCCTGCATTTAACCTTAGGACTGTGATGGCCAATGATGGCTCTGTTACGTATAGCAGGAGAAAACTTATATTGTGGGAAAATGTGCTATAAAGTGGTGGTGGAGAAGGGGGAGTGGGAAGGTATATAGTTTGGTTACTGGTTTCATTCTTATTTCTTGTGGTAGTATAGCCCACCTGTACTGCTTGGATTGAGAATCCTGAACCAGAACAAGTATATAACTATTAGCCTATTTGGATTGTACATATATCCAACCTATCTAGTGCTATGTGCACCAGATTCTTCCTCAGTCCCAGAATTGATTTTGAGCCTGTATGATCTTATTTTCAAATGTTGATTTTTTGGTAAAGAAATGGTTAGTATAGCTCTTGAAAAACAAATGTTTCTTCCAAAGTCTTGGAGTGGACTCCATGACTACCACCACACTTTCATCTGAAGCATAATTTTATGTTTTCAGGGGATCTGGGAGTAAACAGTGGAGAAGAACTTCAACTTACTACCACTATCACCCATGTGGATGGACCAACAGAAGTTTACAAATTAGCTCGCAAGGAAGCCCAGGAATAACACTAAAGCATAGCTTATTAGGCACAAACTGAGGGCAACACATGGAATGATGCCAGTATTTTCCCTGCAGGGGACAACTGATGTCATCCTAAAAGGGCCCAGTTCTGATGGTGCATTTCCGCAGAATGATAATGACCTAGCAAGAGCCATTGAACATGCTCCTTGCTTTGGGGAAGGGGCTTATAGCAGCTTTGACCTCTTCATGACACTTCTAGTTTGCCTTGGGTATTGACCCCAGAAGAGAAAGAAACTGACTTGACTTAGTGAAATAATAGATACCCATTTACATTACCAAAACTCCTCTTGCTTTGGATATTTTTGGGAAACAACTTGGAATAATTTACATGCTTCCTAAGTCAAGGTGGTATACCATAGTTCCAATGCCTACATTTAGCATTATTTGTGTTCTTTATATCACACTTAGCCAGTGCAGGTGATATTTACATAGCTTTAATAAACATACTCATGAGTTCTTTTTTAGTTTAGTGTAACAAAGTCTTTTGTATAGTTTTGGTACAAAAAAGGGCATTTCATCTTTACAAGCTGACATGTATTGATGTGTGTGTATGCTCTGAACACCAACGAGTCTTTCTGATGTAGATATCTTTTTATATGCCCCAGGGATCCCTGTTTACTTGTATGATACATAATCCATGGGACTGAAAGGGGTGTTTGGATGTGTGTTTGGGTCAAAATCTGTTGTTCTTTTCTTTTAAAAAATAATGTTCCAAGTAGCCTGGGAAATACTGTAGATCATCCTCTTTTGGTACTATGAATAAAATATACAAATATTGTGATTTTTGCTGATCTCATTTTGTTCAGAAGCAATATGTTGCGTTTTAACCTGCCTCTTTATAGGAAAAGTGACCATAGCAGAGATCATGCTGACATCTGGTGGAGATCAGATACTTTCCACTGAATTACCATTACCACAGTTTCACAATTATAAATCTATTTCAGGCAAATGGGTGGAATAAGGTTTGAGTATTTGGAGAAGGTTTTCAGATCTAGTAAACACACAGAACAAGTAAAATACACGACTTGCCTATGCTTAAGTTTTTAGAACAGAGGCATGTCATGCTGAAGAGACTCTTAGTTGAATTATGAGTTGTTCAGCCTTTCTGGTGAGATAGAAAGACTTGAGATTAAGAGGAAACCTCAGGAAAAGGGTGGTGCCACCTACTCACTGGTGGATTTCCTCCAAACCAAATTCCAGATACTTTTCTGATAAAGAATGCTTTGCTGTCCAGGTTAGAGTCAGAGTGCTGGAAATTGCTGATGAAGGGAGCACCTTAGCAAGTGATGCACGAGCAGGACCTGTGAACTCCACCAAATCACTTGAACAAAAAGCCAAATTACTTTTTGAGTATCCCTCCAGTCCTTGTAAGGTGATGTCCCTTAAAGAGGCAGCACTAAGCATTCTTTGTGCAGATCTTAAGTTTTCCCATTTAGTCTTTGCACAAAGCTAGTTAAGGCCATGTCCTTATTCAAGAAATGTGCTTCATGCAGTAATTGTTGCATGGAGGGGAAAAGTGGGGTGGTCCATGCTTAGGCTGTTCTGTGAATGAACAAAGCTGAACAACAGAACTCTAAATCAGGGAGGCTGTGCCCATAAAGCAGGCTTGCCTGCACCTCAACCTATGGATAGTGGAATCTGCAAGTGTGGCCCCGCTCCCTCCATATACTTCTGATTTTATAGAGGATCACCATTTAGATAAATACCCATTTAGGGCTTCTGTAATGTCTTTTTTGAAAGTATTTGTACACCTTCCAAAATCTTCCTGAGAGGTCTGAAAGCTTTACCACCCTGACATTTTAATGTACCTTGGGTCCCTTCACAGCAGACATGTGAGCAGTGTTCCATCAGTGTTTTAATGTTTAGTCCTGATGTAGAGAGACAGTTGTTCTCCATATGTTTTGTACTTCAACTCCTAGAAGCTCTGGCCAGCATTACCAATGATCAAGAATGTCAGGAGTCAAAATCATCTGGAGCTCCTTCTGCCCGCCTCGGGTTTATCTCTCTGTTCCTGTGGTGTATTCACCTGCCTAGGTCTTAAGTGATTCAGTGGAAGCATTTGTAATAATCTATGGATCACATGTAGTGCTACATCTTACAAAGCACCAGAAAGAGGAGGCTTAAATGGGGGCTGCCATTTACCCCCCAGCTCTGCTATTTCTTCAATTAACAGCATACGTAAACAGATATTTGATATGGAGATTACGGAATGAACGGAAATAATTCCCTGCAAGAATTAGGCTGGTGCTCTGTGACTCCTGTGAGTAACAGAATACGGGAGGGGCGGGGAGAGGTCTGTTTCAGCAGTAGCAAGTTTCCCCATTTCGTTGTGTCTGACTGACTCTTACCACCCCCAGTCAGCTTAGTTATGCTGGGTGTGATGGTGAAGACTGTCCTTCATGGTCTCTGCATCACACATGGGCTTTGCCACAGCAGTGGAAGGGCTAAATCAGAGAAAAACTTCCAAAGCTTAACATCTCAGAGTGGACAGGAGCCTACTTGCCCCTTCTGGGTCCCAGGAAAAAAGGGTGGGGCGCCCACCCTGTCCCTGCTCCTTTTAGACCACACATCTGTTTGCTTCGCCTAGGTTAGGAATTACTTGCAAGTACTGCTGCTTAACTTTTCTCTTTCCAAGTCCTCTTTCTGCTTCATTAATTTTTTTTAAAAACCTATTTATCTAGATATACAGACTTCTACCAAACTTTTTTGCTTTAACCTTACTCTGAACTTTGGCTTTTTCCACCTCTCCCCCATGCCCCAGTTTTTCCTCCCTTCAGGGAAGGAGAGAAGCTTTGAGCAAAAGCCTTCCTTCGTCCCCTCATGTGCTTTCCCTGTACTACAGCATGGCTGTCAATCCAGCCTTTCGTAGCTGCGGCTCATGCAATGCATGGCTGCACACTGTGGACTGCCATCTTGTTGCCTCCTCTGCATGGCAGAAGGGCATGCAGTTGAAACCTGCACACAAAAAGCAAACCTGCCAGCAGCGGGCAGGACGGCTGAAGTTCACCCTGTGGCAGCACACCTGAAGGATAACTGAGTCCTCCAAGATGGATGCTGATGGGGCTCCTGCCCTGCCAGCTGAGGAAAGGACGAGGGCGGGAAAGAAGCCCAAGAAAAGGCTTTGGCCAAAGGGGACCCAGCGGGGGACAAGGCTGCCCTGAAGATGAAAAGATGCCACTCCTCACCAGCCGACTCTGCAGCCCACATTGACCTCCCAGGCACACTGAATCCTGGGGCTCTATGGCTTGATGACCCAGCCACTCGGGGGCTCAACTCACCCCTCCTCCAAGGACAGGAGCACAGGTTCCTCCATGGCCTCCAAAACGTCACCCTGCCTGTACACCCTTGCACACCCTCTTGGAGTGTCTTGGTTCACCAGTCCCTCACCAAATGACCCTGCAACCCTTGGCAATGTTGGACTGGTGGCTCCTGTCCTGGAAAATGGGGTTTCTCATAGCCATCACTTCAGCCCACTGCTCCAGCAAACTATCAGCTCTGCAAGTCAACACACCTGTCCTCACCTTCCACAGAGACAAGGCCATCCTCTGCCATGACCTACTGTTCAGGCCCACGGTCACCTCATCCTTCCACCTCAACCAGGACATCATCCTTCCAGCCTTTTCCCCCAACCCATCCGCCCTCATTGAGGCCACGTTGCACCTGCTGGATGTATGCAGAGTTCTTGTTTTCTACAGAACACAGAGACCTTCAGATGCTCAAACTGCCTCTTTCTCTGCTACAAGGGCCCAAGGAAGGGAGAGCCCATTTCCTCCCAGTGGCTCCCCAAATGGGTCTCCAATGCTATCTCCCTGGCATACAAGATGGTGGGACTGGAACTCGCCACACTCCACACGTACACAGGTGGTGCCAACCATTCGGCTAGCCCATATCCCAAAGACATCTACAGAGCTGTCACATGGTCAACATTGTCAACCTTGCTGCAGGTAAGCAATGGTTGAAAAACTGCAATCATCTGCTTTTTAATAGATTCTGGGTTTTGCCACAACCTAGCATGCCCCAGTCTATATGAAGCTCGGCTTTTCCTTACAAGTAGATGGGACTCCCATAACAAGGAAAAGAGGCATCTCCTTCTCAAAGTATTTAAACATCTTTTTGCCTTCCCATCACCCTTCCTTAGCAATGTGCGACTCATTCAGTATATTGAAGCTGTTTGCTGCCCTCTGCTGGCAGCAGCTCACACTGCTCTGGAATTGAAAATTAATCTAAAAACAAACCCCAAAGATTTAGTACTGTGTATGACAGCCATCCAGTGCAATTTCCGTATCTTTGGCATATATTTTCCCGTGGAAAAATTCATTAGAACGAATTATGAAAAGAGAGGTTCTTCGTGGTCTTTTTCAACATCCACTCCTAAATTCTATTATTGCAGGGTTCTCCCAAGGACTGTCACACAGAGAGCATTACATGCCATCTGATAGAGTGAATGTCTCAATGCCTTTGGGCACCACTTCTACTCATCTGCTGCACTCACCATCAAAATGGCAAACCACCAGGCCACTATGGCCAGATATCACCTAATGTTATGGGACAGGATGTGCTCATTTTGTTCATCCCTCCCCAAAGAGGCATAGACCCTAGCTAATGAGCTCACCACTGAGGCTACCCATCTCATCCAGCATGAGATTCACATGGTGAAACAGCAAGCCGAATGCGGTGCCAGAAACATGGCAGGTCCTATAAGCCTCCACTGCTTTGCCTGGCTCTGTTCCTCAGGGTTATCTGTGGCACAAAAGCCAGGATCAAGGGCATGCCATTTGATAGCACTGGCCTTTCCAATGAAGGAAGGGATGACAGAATGGACGCTATTCAAAAGGTCAGAAACACTGTTCACTATTCCATTACCAACCTAGGACTCAAACCACCATTCCTCCCAGGCAGCAGTCTACTTCCCAGGGCAGATGCCCTGCTCCCATGACTCACGGCAGGCTCACCAATGCCCAGACAACCACAGAAAGCATCTATGACTCCTCTACAACCCTGTTGACTCCTCTCATCCTTTATCCGGCCATAGACTCATCCTTTATCTGGCCATAGACTATAGTCCTTTTCAATTCTTGGGCTGAGATAACCTGCAAGGATATAGAATAGAAGTTAATGCTCTCCCTCCTCTTGGTACCATAAAGAGAACTACCCCTCTGAACCCTTCCTCAATGAGTTCTCCACACTATTCCAAAAAGGTGCCATTGAACTGATTTCTCCCTGCAAATCTTCATGGATTTTATTCCAGATATTTCACAGTCCCAAAGATAGATGGAAGCCTTTGCTCCATAAGTTACCAAACCTAAATGTTTCCTCATGGTCACACTCCATTCCATCCTACTGCTCCTTCAAAAAGATTTCTGGTTCACCTCAATAGATTTTAAGGATGCACAGTTCCACATCACAACTGAGGAGTCATACAGGCATTTCATCCATTTCCAAATAGGAGACCGAACCTTTCAATTTACAGTCCTCCCATTGGGTCTGGTAATGGCACCTTGTGTATTCACAAAGTACATGACTATTGCCTGTGTCCATCTATGTCTAAAAGGTATCCATGTGGACCCATACCTTGATATTGCTCATTGTTGCTCCCTCCTACCGAGCCTTCCTCCAAGCCATTAAACTTACCTGCAACTTACCAAACTAGGACTCTGTTTCCTGTTCCTGTTTAGTCTCAAAGTCATGTCTGACCCATCACAACTCCATGGACAACATTCCTCTAGGCTCTCCTGTCCTCCACCATCCCCCAGAGTCCACCCAAGCCCACACCCACTGACC